TTAAAAAAACCACTTTTGTTCAGAGCTGAAAGTAGAAACACGCACAGACTGAAAACTATTTGCTTTGCATGACTGCATGTTATCCGAGCGCTCACACTGCAACTGTTTAAAAGCAAAACGTGTGTGTATTGTCCTTCAGAAACAAAAAATTATCAAGACATGAAAAGTTGGAGACGGTTAAATGTGTCCTCCAGAGGCTAGGGATTAGAAGCCTGGATAAGTAGCAGAGGAGAAAAAAAAAGAGGAGGAAAATAAAAGAAGAAACTCTTAAGTGACCTGACAAGGGAAACTTAAATCTTATTTTTAAAAGGTTAGGTTGTACTAAACCTTGAAAAATTAAATCCACAGCTGTCTCCAGAGGACTATATCTCACTAAGAAAGCTTCAAGTAAGTTTATCATGTATCCAACACCTAGACATTGGACCTCAGGGACCACTAGGATAATATTTCCTCTGGATTAGCAAGAAAGCTAGAAAGTGACATTTGTATGAAACTAACTTTAAATTTAAAGGGTTTTCTTATTATAAAATGATAAATGAAGAATGAGCGTACTGAGAAGGAAATCTGTTACAGTTTGTAAATCTAACACATGTCTACTTTTTCTTTAAAAATGCATTGCTATCTCCTAAATTAGTTTTATTTGGTGACATCAGCAATTTGATGTTTTTAAGTCTGTCATCCTCCCAGTATGGATCTACATGTTTCTTTTATGAGCAATATTTTTAATCTCGTAATCCTTTTTATGAGGAATGCTTTTAATTTCAGAGATGATGTACACTGGCAATGAGACAATATAATATATTCAAAAAAAAAAAATACCCAGAAGAAACTATAGGAAGCACAGGATAGCTCTGGTACAATTTCAGTTCTTTTCTACTTCTGGGATTTTTCARTATTAGCTGATAGAGCTTAGGATATGTTGGAATCAATTAACTCACTTCACTGTGCCTTGCCATGACAACTGATATGCCCCTGGGTTGCAGGGAAATCTTATGCATCATATCAGATACCATAGTTAGCTTGACCAGGGTGAATTAAGGACAACCTTAATATATTAACTTAAAATATGAAATCCATCAGTGAACTGAATTTTGCACAGAAAGTAAAAAAAAATCAAACACAGACATTTATACAAATGCCAGAGTCACAATTTAATCAGATGATGCTCTTTTTATTCATATATATTGTGTGTGTCTAAAATTCACTAGTGCAGAAAGAATAGAACAGCTCACAGATCCACATACCAAAATTACCATAAGGTTGGACTGCAGTAATCTAGCATTACCCTTTGCTGCCCTCAAAGCACATCAGTGACAAGATCTACAGAAAATCCTCTGAGCTACGTACTTATGTGCTACTCTATGCTTGTACAGACAAATGTAAAGGATATGTAATGAAGAAAAGGCATACCTAGAGAAATCAAATGGGGAAAGCTAAGTGAGGGGAATTAMCTAAACAGCTCACAGATGGTAACTAAATTAGTTGAAAACTGGAGGATTGTGTTTTCAACACACAGCTCAACAGCATTGTAAAACTTCCACTATTGTAACAGAAGCTCATGAGAAATAGTCGTTAGCAGAATTCCTGGACTCTCTTATTCTTTTGCATGGGGAGGACAGTACCAAGGCATAACCTGTCCTTCCTAAGGACAAAAGCACACTTCATCCATCACATGTACAATAAAAGACCTCTCTTAGCATCTATTTGGGTTCTCAGGGAGTCTAAAACTGACAGGAGAACAGAAACCTTAAAGCATTTTACTGTGCACTGATCTTCCATATACTATCAGACCTAAAGCTAGAAGAGACTGTCACAGTCTTCCGGTTAGCCCTTTAGTATAACATGTGCCTGAGAATCCTAACCATGATCCCTGCAGCAAGACTAACTTTATCAGTATCAAATGGAAGCATTACTTTGTCTCAGTAAGCAACAAAAATACATCCTTCTTCCCCACTGGAAAGGCCTTAATTGAAGCACCCTCCCCACATTTGGATACGTCTCTTCAAAAAAAAAAACAATATGGTCTGACTAAGAAACCTTGATACAAAAAATATTTTCTTGCTGTAAAGGAAATCAAGCCTTGGAACAGATTCTGCAGGAAGACTAAATGTCCATTATTGGAGATGATGTTAGTAACAAAAATAATAAGGGCACAAATGATGTGACCTTGCAGCAAGGGGATAGACTAAAAAAGGTTGTTCCCAGCACTGTTTACCATGAACCTATGATTCTGTTTAAGTTGGAACATTTGTTTCTGCTCCTGTTGAAACCACTAATAATAATGTAAAGCATCTAATCATGACTCCTAAGGTAGGTTACTCCATCAGTTAAGTGCTATCCCACTAAAATTTTGTGCTTAATTGCAGGTCTGAATTTGTTTAGTGCAAATGCACCTCCTTGTGCTTTCTCTCTGCTACATTTCTTTTGCTTTGTTAAAAAGAAGTGGAAGCAAACAATGTGATTTCAATGTGGCTGCAATAGGGGCACGATTTGCCTCCATACGAAGGAAGGATACTTCTAAAATTTAATACAATCAATTTGGGCTGTGGAGTGCTGAAAAGCAACAGTTTTTTCTCAAGAAATAGCTGTTGTCTAAGATATTTATAAAGAACTAATGAAAACTGAAACTTTCCCTTTGGATTTGTTTGAAATAAGTAAATTATATCAAGTTAAATATCACCTAAGCAAACAGATGTCCATTCCTTACCTTTCCTTTGCTTGCCTTTTTTTTGACAAAAAAAAAAAAAAAGAAAAAAAAAGCAAAGTAGAAGAAAGATTTTGATGGTCTCATTCAGAATTCTTTTATTTTGGGGGAGAAAAGAAGGGGAGAATTCCTGATTTATGTCCAAGTATAGACTTGTTCAAGTGTAAAGGAGACCCCCTCTTGCAAACACTTAAGCTGGTGTTCAACTTTATTACTGTGGCAAAATTAAGCACGCGCTTGAGTACTTGCAGAGTCAGAACCATAAAGTAGTACGGCTTTTACAGCTGTGAGTCTGCTTTCTGCCTGCTGCATCTAATAAACATGAAGGGGTGAAATTCTGTCCCCATCTGGGCCAATGGTAAAACTTGCACTGACTGCAGTGGAATCACGTTTTTGCACAAGAAATCTGCTTCCATGACACTGGGACCCACAAGATGCTATTACACAGACAGGCCATTTGCTCACTTTTACATAGACATTTTTATATTTGATCTTTCTATCTTCTCCTTAATCCAATTAAAATTAATCCAGACTAAAAGTACCACTTTGCTTCTTTTCGTAAAGATATTGCATTTCAGGTTTTGTATGTCAGCAAATAACTWGAAACCAATTCTACTGCACCATGCAGAGGACTTTGAAAATACACACCCCGCTGTCCTCCTGTATTCCTTGCAGCAGAACTCATTCTTTAAGGGTGCATCCACTAATAACAGACATAAAAGGCAAAGTACTACAATTGTCTTGCATCTTCTRACACTTCTTAGATAAACCATGCTTAGAAAATGAGTAAATAAATATTTATCCTGCTTTACAGGCTGCTGTGCAGGTTTGCATGTGCACACTTTGTTACAGTGAGACACATGATGGCAGAAGCCAGTTTCCCACCAGTTCAGCCAAGCGAGCCATGGTATAATGCAGTCAAAAGAGATTGCTGTCATGGAAGTGAGCAATTCTCCAATGAATAAGCTTAGGGAGAAAATGGTGCTTTTTGCTCTYTAGTGTCTAATTTAAAGAAAGCACTACTTTTCTATGAAGAGATCTGTTTCTTTTCACACCTTTAAACTTTCCTTTCTATGTCTGAATGAATGAACATCTACACCTAAATTTCCTTACTAGTTAAAACAAGGAGCAAATTGATGCATTTCTACGGATGGGCATTAACTAGGTGTATTACAAAACACAAATCAAGCTCTTCATGGACGCTCCTGTTTTCCTGTTTGTGAAATCTGCTTTCGAGAACAACAAAAGCATCCAGTGTGTGTCTTGTACAGATGTCTCTGCTGCTGCTGATAAAAAAAGGCATTCAAAAATCATGCTGATCTGTATCCTGCAATTAACTTAATCATGGAGATTTAAACCAGAGTTTCTCTTTGCATATGAGATTTTACCTTGCCATGTCTCACTTCTTCCTTCTCATATRAACAAGCCAAGGGTTTATTATGTTCATGTCTCAATCACCTAAATATGTGACAGCACACCAGAAAACTTGTCTCTGCCTCCACAAAGTGGCACAGTTCACTTAAAACACTTAAAATGTTTACTCTGAAAGCCGTCCTTTCAGATTGTGGCATTTTATTTTGGCTAATGAAGGTCACTACAGAATTTCACACATAGTTCATTGTAAAGGCCTATGAAAATGTCCCATATTGACTATTCTTACCCCGAAATCCCTACACAGTTTTTTTTCTTGAGGAAGAATTGACTCTTTGAAGGATAGATCACAAATCTCAGTGTTGGTTTGGTTTTTTAATTCTTCAAGACAGAATTGAATCTAATACCTTCCATTAATTTCATTTTRTTTTTTTTCATACAAAATCAACATTGGTTATTTTGATTCATTTTCTTGACTATGTTGAAGTGACTTGAGAGGATTCAACTAAACTTCGAACCAATCAGACCCCAGAAAACCCTGTAAAAAGAAATACCTGCTTTCTCTCTCTTTACGGATGCTTCCAACACACAGGTGAAGTGAGTCTCCAAAGTAAKTCTTTTAAAAAACACCGTGTGGTAGCAGCCAAAGCCTCGCTGCGCAGGGGCGGTCGTTGGCGGGAGCGCCCCAACGCTCGCACTGCGGCCGTTACGGACCGTTGAGGACCGTTAGGCGCGGCGGGCGGCAGCGCCTCCCCCACGCCTGCAGAGGGCGCCGCGCCCAGGCAGGGGCGGCGGCGCGGTGCGCATGCGCAGCCGGCGCAAAGGGGCGGTGCGCATGCGCGTTCAGGCGTGCCCGGGGCGGGGCTCGCGCTCACCGTGGTAACTGCAGCCGCTGCGYGGCCGCGCCCAGGCGGGTCCCCCCTCCCCCGCGGCCGCCATGCAGGGCGAGGACGCCCGGTACCTCAAGAGGTAACCGGGGAGCCGGCCTGGGGCTAGGCCYGCTGTGGGGCTTAGGCGTTGCAGGTGGTGAGGGGATGCGGCTAAGCGGGGACGTTGTGGGGCGGAGGTGCTGCGCGGGAGGAATATGGAGGGCGCCCGTGGGGTTGCGTGAGGGGAGGCTGTGAGAGACCGTGGGGAGAGCCTAGGGTTGTGTGAGGGGAGACGTGGGGTCTGTTGTGTGGGGCGAGGATGAGGGGACTGTGGGGTTTTGTGAGAGGCTGGCGTTGGGTTATGGGGTGAGGGGAGCGATGGTGGTGGTGGGTGAGGAGTGTGGGCAGCAGCTTGTGGGGTGGGTGGTTCTGAGGCTGTGTGAGCAGGGCTGGGAGGATGGGTTGTGTGGGGGGCTCCAGGGTGGCCGGAGCAGGGCGTGATGGTTGCTTAGGGGGCAGGGGAGAGCGGTGTGGGGATGTGAGGGCCTGGGAGGGGGCAAGGGGCTGTCCCCGGGGGGTGACATTGGCAGTTTGGGGGCTGCAGGAGGGGTGTTAGGCCTTGGGTTTGGGTCATGGGTGTAGCTGGGGAAGATGGACTGCTTTGGAGGTGATATTAGAGCAAGGCACCATGCAGTGTTGGGATGAGGAACTGAGGAGGGGGAGCATTGGGAAAAGCTGGCTGGGGTGGGAACCCGTGTGGAAGTGGGTTGGAAGGTAAGGATGGGATGGGGAGGTAAGGGTGCTGGAGATGGCTTTGGGAAGTGAGAGGACAGGCTGTGGTGAGGGGAGCAGGAGCAGTKATGGTGGCTTCAAGGTGGCTTGGTGGCAAGGGTAAGGAGCAGCTAGGGTTGGCTTGTGGTTGTGGAGGAGGAGGGTTGGATGTGGGCAGCATGGATAAGAAAGGGTAGTCAGTGCAAAGATGGGCCTGAGGGGATAAAGTGGATGATCAGGATTTGAAGTGGGGGATGTGTGAAAGGTGCCATGAATGAACGGTGCCTTTCGCTGCCTACTGGAAACCAGTCAACCTACCTAGTAGTGTCTGTGCTGACGAGGCGACCTCTTTCTTTCAAAGCAAAGATGTTAGCGATCCCAGAAGATGTCCGGTCATCCAGGCCTTTGTTAAGGCTTGATGGGTGAACAATATTGCTTTTTTTTTTTCCCCACTGACTGGATAATTATACCTATCTCATCTTGAATTTTGTGAAGTTACTGAATTTTCTCTTTATCCTTGTTTTTCCTGTGACCCAGCATTGTTTGCAGAACTTGCAGCTTAGGGTTTGGAGGTTTTGATATCCCTTTTCCCCCAAATTAACTCCCTTGCTCAGAAACAACAATAACAACAACAAAAAACCCCTCTTGATAATGTTTGAGGAACATTAGTTCTGTTGTACGAATGGTAGCAGGTGAAAATCAAATGGACAACTGTAATTAAAGAAATAGTTGTTATTTCGGAGCAGCACCTGTTTTGGCTTTGCGTGTTCTGTTTGTGACCTCTTGTGTGAACTTGGGGTTATCTTATTTTTTTTTCTTTATTTTGCAGTTTGCCCTGCAGCAGGCCTCACTTTCTGCCCTGTGGGGGAGTATAAACTGAGAAAATTAGGATGTTGTTACACTGTTTAACATAACTAGGCTTGTGTGCCAGTCTAGTCCTCCTCTGATGCCTATTTCCCTTTGTCATCCTCTGGGAGCTGTCCCCCTTCCGCTTTGTCAGATTTGCTAGRATTTATTGAATTGTTATTCTTAACCATGTGCACAGTTTGTGTCACTTGTTCCTAGTACAGTTTCTTTTGGTTATTTTCCCCTAAAAGAGTAAGTTTGCACCCCAGTTTCAGTAGTGCAAGAGCTCAGCCTGCACAGCCTTCACCCATAGCAGAGGCCTTCTGCTTTTAAGTCTTTAATAGTGTGCAATTCTTGTCATGAGAGCAGGCAGTGAAGCGAGAGGTCAGAGTGTGGGTGAGAGCTACTCAGTGCATTGTTTTTTCTATGAGTTAGAAGAATGTGTTGTCAAATGGTTGATGCAGTGACTAGATACTTACAAACTCAAGATAGATTAAAAAGATATTCAGTACAGTGCGTGTTGCTTGTTGACAGGGGAGAGGTAATGAGCTGGCTTTGTGTAAAGAAAGAAATGTTTTCTTTGCAACACTGGCAATTTGAATGCATTATTCTCCAAATGGAGATAATGGCTRTATGCCTTGTGTAGTGCATTTCAATATGGGTCTTCAGGCAATTCACGAGGTTATGCTCTTCAGAGGAGGAGCTTGAGTGTGGATTTGAATAGGGAGGGTGATTTTTTTTTTTTTTTTTTGGCTCAACTTTGTGAGAGGACAGAAAAATCTCTGCAGCTGAAAGTTCTACAACTGTCCCATCTGTTCTCCTTAAGAACAAAAACACAGGAAATGCTAAAACTGTTTAAGCAGTCTTAGCCTGAAGTCTCCTGGGAGCTAAGCTGATCAGTGATATGCTGCTGCCAAAAGGAGATCTTCCTTCCTCCTTATCCCTGCTTGTAGCAGGAAGTGTTATTCCTTTTCTATAGATGCATTAATTCAGTAATGCATTAAAAGTCCCTGTGTCCAAAACAAGAAGCGCTTTCTGCTAAATTGCTGAAAGTGCCTGTGAAAGGGTTGATGARCATTGGAGATGACACAAAGTGGCTAGCAGGAGCAGGGAAAACATTGGAAGATCAAATCCTTTTGGAAAGGACGAGTTGTTCAGCTTCAGCTTATTTTTTTTTCCCTACTTCCCAGTTGCATTGCTGCAGAACAGAAAGCAGCTGCTAGAGTAGCTGGGTGAGGAGATGTATATTCCTATCATTTTCTAAAGAGTGATTATGCTAAATGAAGGCTACATTCAAATTTACTATCATTTCCAACTCTGTGCGGCTAAGAAGCCTCCCTTAATATACTTGTCCCCATACCACACTTAGCTGTCACCTCACTTATGCTGATGTGACCACTTGTGAAGCCATGAAGCTACCTGTAAATCTGGTTCTTGAAGTGATCTACTTAAAAAAATAGCTTTACACACAAGTAGGAGAGAGCAGAAGAGGCCCTTTGTTGTGTGAATGCGGAGTGCTTTACTTTTTCCAAGTATCTATAAGTATAATAAACAATTATGCTTGATTTATATCTGTTGGTGTCAGCTGTTGTTTTGGAAATACCCCATGGCCAGTAACAAGTTATTAAATGTGTTCCTTTCTGGGATAAAGGGAGCTCAGGCTGTGGATGAGGAACAGTATTGCAAAGATTTATGTGTGAATGGAAAATAGTGGGTTTGAATTCATATGCTTCATAATTAATTCTCGATAGTTTTATCTAAGACTTAGTTGAGTCTACCAACAGACTTGTTGGGGAAGCTTCCCATTTGTATGTGACAGCACTTGTGCCATTATCAGAAGATTTTGCAACACTTGCAGTAACATGCAATCAACTGTGAAATTCGCCTTTGTGAAATGCATTTTTTTCCTGAATATAATTCCTCAAGGGAACTCAAACTTAGAAGCCAAAGGTATATTGTCCTCTTCTTTATTTCACTTCTATGACTAAGACTTGACCCGTGTTTTCTGTGTGTGCTGGAGGCAATTTTCAAGGATGTGTGACTAGCACTATGCTTACATTCAGCTCTTCTGAAATGAAGGAATGTGACACCATGCTGTGGCAGAAGGCCCAAACCTGAGTTTTGATCTGAGAAGGAAACAGATGGCTGCTATTAATCTATATTCTGACATGTTTCTTCATCTCTTCATTAAATCTGCAATTATTTCATTTTTTGTCTTTTTTTCACTACAGGAAGGTAAAAGGAGGCAACATAGATGTACATCCATCTGAGAAAGCCCTCATTGTCCACTATGAAGTGGAAGCAACCATTCTTGGGGAGATGGGAGACCCCATGCTGGGGGAACGCAAAGAATGTCAGAAAATGTAAGTTCAGAGGAAGTTCTGGTAACTTCTTCTGTTTTCTAAGAGAGCTGCAAATTTGATAAAGAAAAACCTGTAAGAAGTAATAGATTCTAAACTTTATAAAACTTAGTATCAGGTTAATGGAGGCTTTAGAAGCTGGAATGAAGCTGGGAAAGTTTTAAGTAACCTAAAACACATGCTGTAAGCTGATTTTCATCTGTGTATTTAAGATGCATTAAGTTTTGTAAAGTAAAACACAATCATTCACATCTTGCACACTGGGAGCTTGAGGTTCAAAAATGTGAAGTGATTGGTTGCTCCATGTGGTGGTTAAGGTCAGAGCAAGAAGTACTCCTGAACCTTTTGACAGCCTTGTGCCCTAGCTTTTAACCTGCCTGGATCCCATAGTTTCAAACGCCCTACTGCTGATTTTGCTACAGCCTTCCATTTCAGATTTGATTCATCATTTTCTTGACTATAAGTTTGAATATTTTTCTGTTTGTGTTTTCCACCCCTGCTCTCTCCAGTGGTTCTCTGGAGGAGGGATGGAAAAAGGGAGGGGAGCAAGGAATTGTCTGTGTGAATGCGTTTAGGAAAAATGAGAGAGGAAGAGAACCCCTTAAATTGTCCTCCAAAACTTTCTTGCATCAAAAACTTTCTTCTTCAGATAAATCARCATGACTTTGCCATACTAATATTAATTCCTACAGATATTTCTTTTCTATGTTGCATGTAGAGTCTTTATTGCAGTCTTGTTGTATCTATAGAAAAGTCTCGATGTTGCATTTGCAGGTATTGCAAAATAAATTTCCCTGTGAAGTTTCTTATTTGGGGATTTTATTTATTTGTTTTACTGTACTGCTTTGCAATGCTGAGAAGCTTCTTTTAGAACTTGTTACAAATACGTTATTGACTGCTCTACCTGRGATGGTTATAAGGGATCTGTTCATATAGCTTCATTTAGAGTTGTTGACTGTTGACTGCAAAAAATCTGCTCTCGAATCTGTTTCCACAACTCAAAAAGCCAAGTAAGCAGAGTAGCTGCTTAGATGTTATCTTTCGGCATCTTAGCATGGACATTGGAGATACCCTGGTCATTTCTTCCTTGACAAACTCACAACTGTGTAAGCTTAAGTTAAAGGCTTGAAAATGCAAAAATCTAGCAGTTGAGATGAAATCGGTCTGATTGTGTTTCAGCATTCGACTGAAAAGTCTCAATGCAAATACAGACATTGCTTCCCTGGCTCGGAAGGTCGTTGARGAATGTAAACTGATTCATCCCTCCAAACTTGCCGAGGTGGAACAGCTGTTATACTATCTACAGAATCGCAGAGATGCTTCAGCAGGGAAAGGTGAGTAATAGAGGAACAAAGCAGGCTTGATGCACTTCAGTATTACCTGCAAGTGCAGTCTGAGGTTTCTTAACCTCAGATCTTAACTTGCTTGATTTTTAAACCCTCTCCAGGGAGGTGAGACTGGGGAAGGAGTATGGTTAAACTGCCTCATGAAGAAAAAATAATTGTGAAGGTTAGTGTGGGATTATTGTTTTGACAAGGATGGCTTTTGGTTAGTCAAATTTAGTACTGGTGCTTCCTATTGACCAATGCTTCAATGAGATCTTAATTCTGCCTGGGCACTGTGGCAAAGCAGTTGTACTTCTACAGTGAGATAGCTTGTTTCAGTCTGAGCTTGAGCTAAGATTTATTGCTCTTTGCCTCCCCAGCTAACTGGGCTAAACTCCTCATTTGGACTGAGGAGTCAAAGGCATCTGACGATTCATTTTGCTCCCTGTGTGTTGTTAGCTGCAGAAACTAAGACCCCTTAGCTTTTTGCAATAAGGGGGTCAGTGTTTTAGTTGGAGTCAGCTAGATGCAAGGGGACTTTGACCTTGGTCTCTCCCAGAATGTATAATGTGACAATACTGAGCATGCTTTTTTATCTGTGAACGTGTATCTTCACCTGTGGCCCTGTCTCTCTTCTTGTAGAAAAGAAAGAGAAATCCAGCAAGCCAAAAGATCCACCCCCTTTTGAAGGAATGGAGGTAAATACTGGTGTTGTAATAAGCCTTTGTGTTTCTCTCCTYTCTTAAAGAAGTGGTTATATAAATGGGGTAAGCAAATGCTGAATTCTCTTCTCTCCTTTGTGTTTTTAAACAAAGAACTTCTTTTAGAAATGTTACACAATGGAATAAAAAATCATCTCCATAAAGGGTAAAATATTTGACTTGCATACTTCTTCTAAGTATAGCGCGCAGCAGGACAGTGAGTGAGGTCTGGAACATCGGACAGGAGGCAGGGAGCCGTGTCTGAGCATCCTTTGTTTCTTATAATTAAGTATTCTCAGATTTCCTGCTGTTAATTGGCAGTGATTTTGTATGCATTTATTTTGTTAGAGAAAAATAAAACACAAGAAAATTCAAAGCTATGCAYGCTTTTGTCTGCAGAATCACATTATGTTTGAGTGTGTTGAATTGATGCCTCTCTTAAACCCTTGCTCRTTGCTGCTTCCAGATTGATGAAGTTGCCAATATCAATGACATGGATGAGTATATTGAATTACTCTATGAGGACATTCCTGACAAGGTGCGCGGCTCTGCCCTCATCCTGCAGCTTGCTAGGAATCCTGATAATCTGGAAGAATTGCTGATCAATGGTAACTTTAAACTCCAGTGTGATAGTGTGCAACGCATTTTTTTTGTGTGTGGTTTTTGAAATTTATTATTTGAGATACCTGTATTTTGTAGTTTGTTAGGCTGTGCTCTTGCCGAGTTCACTGTCTAAGTTGGTTTAGGCATTTTAARCAGATGCTTCTTAGGCTATTCTAGGTGGGTTTAACACCTAAAGRTATTTCTGGCCTCACCAGGCTTCAGCTATTTGTTCTGATGCTAATTATTTTGATGATAAATTACCTTAATTTGGCATTGCTGCTGGAGAAAAGGGAATGTACATCTCTCTCTTGCAGTCCAGATTTTAGGTGAAACTTGCCCAGATATCACTAGTATATCATACTTTTATTTATGGATCCATTTTTAAAATTGTATCAGCGTGCAGGATGTATTTTATGTGCATTTGGAGTCCTATGTCACATGGAATAGTGTGTGTATGTTAATACATACATGTATGTGTAAATATCCTCGTTTCRCCACCCACTGTCCCCTCTCACCAGGACTTTATAATTTGTGATGATGAGACAGATGAACAAAATATAAAGGAGATCAAAGCCAGAGTGATAGTAGATTCATACTGTATTAGTTTAGTCCTTTTCTTTCCTCCCCATTTTGTCCTTTTCCCTGATGTTYGTATCCCACATTCCTTAAATAATGTCTTAGAAATGCCTGCTGACCATCTGGCAAAGTCAAAACTAAGTTTATTGTAAAAATTGGGATGGGAGGGGTTTGATAAGCCATCAGATAATGACTTGTCCCCATGAGCTTGATGTATTTTCCTGTCAGAAACTTCTAGTTATTGCTTTTCACTTTCATCTTGTTCTGATTGTCTAATGCAGGGCATCTGARGAAGAAAAAAAATCAAGGCAAATGGAAAGGATATACAATTCAAAAATGATAAGCTTAAGTGTGATAGCAAGAAGTATGAACTAGAATATTAAATAAGAGAATTTTTTTAAGAGGAAAAAGTAGGTAGAAACAGTGGATGAGAAATTGTGCCTGTCAAGGTGGAAATTAAAGGGATGTGGAAGTGACTGTGATGGGTGTGCAACAGGGAGCACTCAAGTAGCTGAGGCTCTGTAATTTTAAGGTTATAAGTAGTTTGAAGAGGGCCTTATGGTTCCATTGTGGTTTCCTTGCGTGAYGCTGCTCTTTACTGTTTGTATCTGGATGATCAGTCAGCCTGTATACACTCTTAATACTTCAATACAGCCTCCAGGAAGAATGCTGTTACATATCAATATGAGATAGCTGTGAAAGGCTTTCATTTAAAATCATGAAAAATATATACTGAAATTTCATATATTGCAAAATCAACAGGAGGAGGTGAATTTCTGATTTGTATAGATYTTGTCTCTTTTCAGAAACCGCCCTGGGTGCATTGGCTAGAGTGCTGAGGGAAGACTGGAAACAAAGTGTGGAACTTGCTACTAATATAATTTATATCTTCTTCTGTTTCTCAAGGTAGGGGCCAGGTTTCCGCTTTTAAGGATAAAAAAGGAAATATTCTGTTTGCTTGGTGTGTGTGTGTGGTGGGTAGTTATTGTTTGTTTGTTTTGTCCTTTACTGCAAAACTTTACTGAAACAAAAAATGTTGAAGTGAAAACATGCTTGTTACAAATGACAAAATTGAGGCACTTTTTTTTTGTGATAAGACACTGTAGAAGTGTTAGGAAGAAAGTATCTAGTAAGGATTCTGACCCATTGACACTAGGCTGTGCTGCCACATACAATGCTGTGTGTATCTCATGTTCCTTCTAGGAAGAAAAAGCACTCAAAATTGAATTGAGTGCTTGTACATGTTATGGTAGTTTTATTTTTCTGCCCAACTTTATTAGGAAAAAAGTTAGATGAATTTATAATGCAAATTGACTTTTAGACTTCTGTCTTCTGATGCATGAAAGGTCCTCTGTGGCACTTATGAAAAGTGGGCCTGATAGGTAAACATATTCCAATTTTWACAAATAAAGGAAGTGTTTTTTATTTTGACTTGAAATAGTATTCTAAATTTGTCATTTTCATCCTTTTAAACCTATTTGTGGYCCTAGCATTAATTTAAAAAGACAGAGCTTATTTGATTCCTTTTAAATTCATGTAATAAAGCACATGTATTTTAAGAAATATCTTTATTGTGAAACATGATTTTACTTTGCCCATCTTGGCCAAAAAAAGGTTGTCCTTTTAAAAGCTTGGAAAAATATTAATGTTTTCAGGCAGTGTTATAGTGTTGAAATTTCTCAGAAGTGCTGTAAGGGGCAGAGAGTAACTGCCATTTTTGCTATGCCAGTTCTGATGTGTTGCTGGGACCTTGCTACCGTGGATGTCAAAACAGATTTGGGGTTGGTTGCAGCGTATTTCTTTCCTCAGACATGATATGTTTTCTTTGATGTAGTTTTTCTCAGTTTCATGGACTAATCACCCACTACAAAATTGGAGCTCTTTGTATGAATATCATAGATCATGAGCTGAAGAGACATGAGCTGTGGCAGGAAGAACTTGCTAAGAAGAAGAAAGCTGATATCCTTTTGATGTGCTGGGGCAACTAGATAACCTCTGACTTCATTGCTGTTGAGTTGAGATCTGCATACAGCAACTTTTATGAATGTGCTAGAACTTTCTAGTAAATGCAGAATATAATTGAAGATACAAAAAAAGTGAGAATTTTGTGCTGCTGAAGAGATTAAAGTAACCAAAGTAATAGTAATTAACAAAGTATAGGTAATTTTATCAATAATATGTTAAGATTTTTTCTTATTGACTATTAGACTCTTACACGAAGAACTAGATAGGTGTTTTTTAATCATAATTGYGGTTTACAGGTTTCCAAGGTTATGCTGAGGTAGTGTTTCTGTTGATTCCTCCATAGTTTGTTTTCTTTTAGTGATCAGGTAACACCTGTGTGCACAATRTGTATCCAGACTGTGTAACTCTTATCTGTGCTCCTTAACTCCTGCTATTTACTTGATGAAGATCCTGAAAATCAAACACTGAAAAAGGACTATGAAAAAACCTACAAGAAGTATCAAGGTCTGGTTGTCAAGCAGGAACAGCTACTGAGAGGTAACAAAATTGAATAGCAAATCTTTTCCTTGCCTGTGAGTGTGGATAGAGTATCCTAAGGAATGTTTGTTTTAACTAGGAGGATGTAAATAAACAGTGTGTGAAGGAATGTGCAAGAGCTTTACCAAAGAATAGGGAGGTAATAGATATTTACTCAAATTGTTGGATGTACTAACATACCTTGGTGTCTGCTAATAATTTTTAAAATGATCTGCAAAGCTTGCACAAGTAGCAGAAGAGGTGACTTTATCCTTTTTTTGTTAGTGATGTTGGTTTTTGGCATGGTTTGAGTTTTGGTTTTACTTGGATGGAAAGTTAAAGGTTGTATATGACTCGGACCAAGTAGACTTTAATCTACTTAGTTTTTTCTTCAAATAGACCATTTCAATCTAATATTAAAGTATAAGTGGCAAAGCTCTCCTGGGAGGAGTTTTGCAAAGGAGAAAGATTTTCTGGATTTTTTTTGTTTGTTTGTTTTGGGTTTTGTATATTTTGGGGGATGGGGAGGAGAAGGGAATTTTTAATGGTTGTTGTTGGAATAAAAAGAAAAACTAAAAACAAATGTTCTGGTATTCATAAAATATATGATCTTTTTTTTGCAAAGCTAATTTTGGAACTATTATCTTTTTAAAGCTTTCTCAATGTGAATAAGAAGTACTGAGGGTCCATTTTCTTCAAAATGGACTGGGAAGAGGGTAAAATGCTTCAGAAAGCCTTGTCTTAAACACTTTATGTCTAAACTCATTCAATATCAATGCCTTTAATCTGTTGGTGTGATTTGTCTTGGCTCTTAGTTGCTCTTTACTTGCTCCTGAATCTTGCTGAGGACACTCGCACTGAGCTGAAGATGAGAAACAAGAACATTGTGCATATGTTAGTGAAAGCTCTCGATCGAGACAATTTTGAACTGCTTATCCTGGTTGTATCTTTCTTGAAGAAACTCAGCATATTTATGGAGAACAAAAATGATATGGTAAGGCCTATAGCAATCCACTGCAACGTTGGAAAGGGATGAATGTTCTCTAAAACCCGTGAGTAGTTGTAGGGAAGAGGAGATATCCCTATCTGCATCCAAAGTATCTATAGCCTATGGTTTTATGTGTGTTTTTTTGTTGTTGTTTGCCCTCCTTTCCCCCCCCACCCATTTTATTTTCTTGCCTTTTTTTTGTGGGGGGAACAAATTAAAAAGATTAGCAAAACCAAGAGGTAGTCTGAAACCACAGTTAACTTGGATCATGCAGTGAAAAGCATTTATGTAAATGTAGTAGGAAATTAATTGCATCTTTGTTACTGGAATTCTGTAACACCTCGTCTACAATGATTGGTGAATATGCATGTGTATCTCATTTATGTAAGGGTATCCTATTTTTCAAAAATAAGACACCAAATGTGGTTTTTGAGGAATGTAGACTATTTATCAGGTGATTGGTCTTTGATTTAATTTATGGTTGTGTAGATCCCTGAAGCATTTTATTCGGAAAATAAGGTTTGGCTTTGCAGCCTGCTGATTTGCTGGCATCCTTTTCACATTCCATTTGATTTATTGGAGAGACAAATGAAACATTGGTGAAGTTTATTTTATTGTAAAGTATTTGAATAGCCATGAAAAGATGCTTGAAAAGGTTTGTATGCTTAGATTAACTATCTGTTTCTGTCTGATAGTAGAGATGTATAGTTTCTTCTCTAAAATATTATTATGGAAGATACTAGTGAAGATATTTTGATATTTGATTCAGAAGCAATAGAACAAATTTTGAAGACAAAATGAACCAAGACTAGCTGTGCAGTGCCTGATTCTAAGTAAAACTAAATAATCCACCCTTTATTTATAGCACATTCTTTCCCTTGGTGTTCAAGTGCCATGCTAGACTCAAAGTAGTGAAGTGGGAGTCCTTGCTATCTKACTGTTTCTGATCAAAGGTATCCAGTCAGTTATTTGAATACTACCCTMTGCCATGTGGTGAGAGCTGCAGATTCTTTTCTTGGAATTTATTCTCTGTGTATTAATAACAGGAAGACTAATTACATGTGTGCTAAAGTTTGAAGAATGTAAAGTAATTTTATGTGCTTTCCTCTGGCTGAAGAACATTCTGTGAGGCAGAGAATGAATTTCTTCAAGAGATTCRAAAGACTTGACAACTAAAAGCAGAGAAATGTTGCTTAAAAGATGATAAACTTTCTAAAGTCTTGCCAATTGATGATCAGATGTCTTTTCTGGCTGGTAAATAGAACATGATCTCAGGAATTGATACCACTTAGATTCCATTTTTTTAATTTGAAAGTGATACATGTTTCAAGATGCCTTTCATGCTTTTATTAAATTATCATACAAGGCAGCATGCCTTTTCTGAGAGCATATGTGAAATTTGGTCTAGAGGTTCATTGAAATTCATACTGAAAGGTCTCAAATTCTTTTTGGATGCCAGTGTTCTGTCTGTCCTGGTTGGGTATCTATTTGACTTTAATGTCAATTGCTCCGGGTTACTTGTGTTTAAATTGAAATGAGCTTCCTGCTCCCTTCCCATTCCAGTCCTGCAAGCAATGTCTTCTGACACATGCTTGCAGTATTCCGACTGTGGGGAATATTTCCAGGACAGCTAAACTATTTAGTTCAAAACTTCTTATTCACTATTACTCAATAACCCAATGCAGATTTAAACTACACTTCCATAGGTAAGGCTGCTTCAGACAAAAATGCAGTGACAGTCACTACTATGGGTGAAAATTGCACTTGTGGGCAAATCGGGTGAATATATGTTAGAGCTTTTAAGCAGAACACAAAGTTAAGCCTCAATGACTGTGGACTTCATTCTTTTTCTTGATGTACAGGTAGAAATGGATATTGTTGAAAAACTTGTGAAAATGGTACCCTGTGAACATGAAGACCTGCTGAACATCACTCTTCGGCTCTTACTGAATCTCTCCTTTGATACAGGCCTGAGAAATAAAATGGTACAAGTTGGTCTGCTTCCCAAGCTCACTGCACTTCTAGGTATATTTTCTGTTCTAATACAGACATTATTTAGGGACTGGAAAAGATGTGGACGTCATGACGGTGCCTAAAACTTCTTAGGTTTTAAAATTTATTTTCCAAAGAATTGTCTCCCTATCTGCACCCTTTCTATCATGTATATCATAGTTTCAAATGAAAATTTAGATGGAAGTCTAAAATAATGTTATTCTTAGTAAATTAGGTTCCCATTTTTTCCTTAAACYGTTGATCTGTTTTCTTGTCTTTAAAAATAACTTTGGAAGCTAACTGAGACTCATTAGAACTGACGCTTAAATGATGCTTGTATTTAGGAAGAGTGCTCAGGAAAGTCAGCTACCTCAGGTAATTTAGCTGGTGAATATACCAGCTACCTCTTTATAAAGCTGCAGATGCCTACTCTATTAGCTTAGTGATTCAAGTAAGAGGTTAGATCTGAAGCTGACAAAGTTGGAAGCTTCTAGCTAGGACTGTGGATTTTTTTGTTTTCCTTTTCTAGATTTTAAGCTTGTCAGTCTAATTTGTGGTAAGGTTTTGCTAGGTAGCTTGGCCCAGCTACCAGCAAAAAGGTTCAGAGGAACTTTTTCTTGTTTCTTTTCAGCACACAGTGCTGTGGTCTAGGACTTCAGAGACACCTGGCATGACTTGGATCACCAAGATGTCCTAGCTCCCACACATTCTCTCCTTAATGAATTTAATCTGATAGGGGTGTTATCAGAGTTAGGCACATCTAATGCCTAACTCTGATGTGGAGGGGAGAATTTCTCTTCAAATGCTGTTTCCCTGGACTTAGACCTGTGCTGAAGGCTRTTCAGTAGAGTTGGCTGTTATAATAGAAGTCTATTCCTGAAGCATGTCCTAGAATAAGATGTAGCAAGATCTGCAAAAGCTTCCAGAAATTCTTTCCTTGATGTGGAAGTTATCACCTCCACCTTTTTTTTGTCCTTTGCAGGGAGATGTGCTGTTTTCCTTAGCTCCTCTGTTTAGCATTGCTTGTTGATACTTGCAATGTCCTAAATTTAAAAAAAAAAATTCCTAACTCAGCTCTAATTCACAAGAATTTTCTTTATAGGATGAATCAAATACTTCACAAATACATGCCTATGTATATCCTGGCTCAGGAAAGCCTGTAACCTTAGTAATAAAATAATCATTTGCCAGATGCCCCATTTTTTACAGGTTATTTGGGCATTCAGCATGCATTATTCAAGTCAGTACCCTTCAGTTTACATTTGCAGGTCACATTAAGGTGCTCTTGAAGTGCTAACACACCTTAGCAGCTGTTGACAAGTAACCATACAGCTCCTAATACCAAGAGGTCAGGCTTGATGACTCGGTCTGCTGAAATTTACCCTTTTATGCAGGCTGTGCCTTTGAGTCTTTAGCACTGGGTTTGAGATGGGTATAAATTATATTAGGTGCTTAAGAGGAGAGTTGAGATTGGAACTAAGTAATGGACAGGATTTGTCAGGCAGGAGTTGAGGACTGAGCCCTGAGATGGCCTTCTCTGACGGTCTGCAATTTTGGAGGGCATACAGCTTTCTCAAGGGACACTTAATGGCTTGGAAGCAGGACTGCCTCCCAAGGTAGGTTGAGGCTAGTAGTTGAGCAGATGGACCGGCCTAAGCTGAGCTAGCAAAGGAATGGATTAATTGTGATAGGTTGGAGAAGAACCATCCTCATTCTTTCCCTCCTGCTTCACATCATCAAGGCTTTCATCAAGGCTGAAAGCATGGACGTGAGAAGTTTGCCTCAGTCTTGCTTTCCATTTTCATTAGCCTTTGCTTTTTAATAGCACCAGTACTTGCTTCTTCATGCAGCTTTGCCAGTCAACACCACTTGCTAGCTTTTGTGGCTTCTCTTCACAAGTCTGAAGTATTGTATGTGACAAGACTCCTCCTGCTCCTCCTTCCAGGCACCCAAGTTAATCAGCTGCAGCTGAGCTTTATTATGCTCTGAAGCTCTGAGCTGCGTGCAGCTGAGGAAAATTTAGTTTCTGACTTACTGATTTGTGCTGGAGCAGAGCTGTGGAGGCCTGTAAGATAGAGCCTGGTGTATTTGAGTATGTCTGTCACCTTGGAAGAAGAGTCCAAGCCAGTGTCCTGCAGAACGTTGTGGAGAGCCTTGCTGCACACATGCTGCTGTCATTTTGCTTTGCCTGGAATAATAAAAACAGCATGGAATAAGAGTGTAACTTGCTCCAAATACATTAGAGTTTGGTTAATGTATTCGCTTGTGGGCAGCGCACAAACTGAAAGTGGAAAATGTGGARTTGAGCCTTAAGAAAGCAGATGCAGAACCCTCTTTTCTCTGTAGCTGTTCTTCCACTGCTGAGCAAAAGGAGAAACCCTACCCCATTCATAACTTCTCTCCAGGATTTGTGATGAATCTCTACAGCGGAATGCCTTGGCAGGAAGCAAAAAGCATTATGTCCACAAGAAAGAATAGGAAAAGTCACTATTTTGGACCACATCCACTTTGGTATAGATGTGTGTGGGTGGTTTTTGGTTGTTTTTGTTGTTTTTTTCTTCTCCTTTCAGTTAACTGGCCAAAGCAAATACAAAATTGAGTACAGCACATGCACAGCTTATGGTTCACGTTCTTCTAATAAGGGTACTTTTTTGTTGTGTACAAGTGAGGTTTTCAAATTGTTCTTTGTGAAGCAAGACAGAGAGTTCTGCGTTCTTGRTGAGCAGAGCAGGAAGCTCGTGCAGACCCAGCTGAGGACTATTGAGCGCAAKGGGAGGTGCAGCCTCCTCCCAGTGAACCTCTGTTGAGAAGGACCTGCTGGCAGTATGGATGTGTGCCAGGCAGTGCTGGCTCTTGTGTCCACCCATGAGTTGATCATTGCTCTGTCAGGGACATAACAGCTTCCACACCCTTCTTCTCCTTTAGAGAAGGAATGGTATTGATGCTTGCTGGGCAAGTGGAGTAGGGAGGATTATTTTTATTTTTTCCAATCTTTAATGAATATCTCTGGAGGCACACAGGGAGCAAAACTGGTGGGTGGGTTCATTCCTTTGGGCTGCTGGACAGTTGCAAAGTGCAGTGAAGACATAATGTCTTGAGGTGCTGTTCTCTTTTAATTCACTTTCCTGTGCAAACTGTGTTTAGAGTGAGAACCCAGGATGCTTGGAACTCAGATCCCCTTGCTGTTGCTGCCACCACCACCAAAGTCTCTCAACTTGCTTGAAATCACTAGCTGCTTTTGAAAATCAAAGTTGGCTTGGACCATGAATATTACTGACCTGAAATGGATGTATTGCAAAACAATACCAGCTAGAAACCAGCCCAGAAATGGGGAGTGCAGCAGGACTGTGCCTGTGTTAGTTCTCATGCCATGTCATGGTCTTCATCTTCAAAAAAAACAGAGGCAATGAACATCTTGGGCTAGGTTTTTGAGTACTGATTGCTGTGACTGAAAGTCATCTTTGTGGGTTTTTATTTCCAGTTCACCAAGCAGGCGAGTTGGTTGCACAGATCTCTAAACATGATGTCATCAATCCCAAGCCTATATTCCTTGTGGATGTGAGCCTCCTGATTTGAATGTCTTCATTTCTTAGAGCTCCAAGGCTTCATATCAGCATGCTGATATTTTATGTTGACATTTTAAGGGTTATGTCTTAGTCTGCTTACCCCAAAACAGCTCAAACTCTTCTTTTAAGAAAAGAGGTGGAGATGGTCAGACCAGGGAGTGACTTTAACTGTCCCTTATTTAATTGTCCCTGAAAAGTCTGACTTTACAGGATTCATTGATACAATTTGTGTATTTTTATTGTGTAAAATCCTTTCTGGAAACTCCTGTAATCCTGTAACATTTTTCCATTCTTTATAAGTTAGATTTAATGCACAATCAAAGAATTGCCAAAGAGGTGTAGCTTGGAGTTTTTAATCAAGTCTAGATATGGTCTGCAGCCGAGCTGACTTGTACATTGACTGCTATTCAAAAACTCAAGAACTAGTTTGCTGTCTAATTAATGGTGCACAGTGGGTTTTTAACGTCTGTTCCTTTTATGAAAGTTTCTTTTAAGAAGGCTTAAAGTAGATGGGCTTTCTTTATGAGTTCACTTGGCCTTTTTGTAATGAACTTATTAGGGAGCTTCACACATCTGTTGGAAAATGGAGCTTCTATAGGCTACTGCAGTGTTTTTTCCAACTTTAATAAGCCTCGTTTATCATATAAAGAAATGTACATTTTCTTACCTGATCAAGTGAGCAAACAATAGGGGTCAGATGTGGCAAAGACCCTAACAAAAAGCACATGTCTAGCCTTTGGGGTGAGGTAAAGTCATATCAAGATTGCTTGAAGTTATTAATGGCAGTAAAATTTATGCTTCCTCCTGTTTTCCCAATTAAATTGAACTTTTTTTTTCCTGAGGTGGCTCTGCAGCAGCTGGTTCCAATACTTGTTGTGTGAATATTGCCTGGGGTGTCTCCATTCCTTTATAGTAGAAACTGGCTGAAGCACATTAAGAAACAGTTCAACTGCAGGGACCAGTCTGTTGGAAAACAGTAATTATTAAAGGATTTATTTTAATGGTAGGTTTTTATCATTTGTGGTGAGCATGGCCAAGTTTCTTTAAAAAAAAACTTGAAGTTCAGCCTCTAAATCTCTTAAATGTCTAAATAAACAGTTTTGCTTTCACTGGTGCCGAGAACCTAGCATGTCCTGCTGACTTTAGCAACRTGTTGGGTGTGCAGCATGTCTTGGCACCCAGCAGTCATTTGCCTACTTGAACTACGTCAGCAAACTTTAATAACGTTAAAGAGAAAAATGGCTTCTGATGTTGGGGAATATAAATTCCAGGTAGAAAGGCTACAGTATCATTAGTGTTGTGTTTGAAATAGGATCCTCAGACTTTGTTTTTTAGGGCTAAAACCTTCACTTGCTGCATGTTAATGGTGAGTTGTCAGGAAAGAGTAACAAACTTCTAACAATTTTTATAGTCTGTCTAATACTTTATTGATTTCTTTAGTTTCTAACTGTCAAAAGTTAGAAACAA